AAGCGCACAAGTTAAAGTAGCATTAAGCGATCGCCATTTGGTGTATCCATTTCTGGGTATGTGCACTGGGATACGGACGCTTTTAAAATAAGAAACGTTATAATAGGGTTCTAGAAAGGGGGGGGGGGGGGCAGGGTTACACGAAGAATGAACCATCCCTGGAAAGTCGTGTCTGTAGAGTAGAAGGTGGAGCGAGCCCAGTACAGTGGTGGGCACCTGTAGTTCCAGACCCAAGGAATACCCGAGCCCAGATGTTGGAAGCTAGCCTAGCTCACGGAGCAAGACTCCAGCTCACAAAAAGTAACTGTAAAAAAGCAGGAGCTTTGTAAAGAAATTTAAATCATAAACGTTTTATGCAGTAGAGAGCAAGTATATAAACAGCAGAACTGCCAATGGTGAAAAATGAGTGTAACACTAACACTTTGTAGCTGACCAAAAAAAATAGCACTACAATAAAATCCTTTTATTTATTTATTTTTTAAATAACGAGTTAACTCTTCTTTGAGGAGACTGTGTCTCACTAAATATTCCTGACTGTCCTGGCATCCATCTCAGGAATCCACCTGCCTCTTGCCACCCAAGTGCTGAGATTAAAGGCATGATCCACACACCTGGTTTAAAATCCTTGATATGGGGCTGGGGAGATGGCTCGGAGGGAGGTTAAAAGCACTGGCTGCTCTTCCAGAGGTCCTGAGTTCAATTCCCAGAAACCACATGGTGGCTCACAACCACCTGTAATGAGATCTGGTGCCCTCTTCTGGCCTGCAGGGATATATGCAGGGAGAATACTGTATACTTAATAAATAAATAAAATCTTAAAAAAATAAATAAAATTCTTAATGCATCTCTAGAATATACCTTAAATTTCATTTTGTTATTTGTCTTTTTCCAAAATACAAATATGAATCAGAACTCTTAAAAAATACTAGGGTATGCCAGGCAGTGGTGGCTCACGCCTTTAATCGAGCACTCAGGAGGCAGAAGCAAGGGGATCTCTGTGAGTTTGAGACCAGCCTGGTCTACAAGAACAAGTTCCAGGACAGCCTCCAAAGCCACAGAGAAACCCTGTCTCTAACCAAAACAAAAAAACTAGGGCATATGTAATGGGCAATCCCAATTTCCCATGGCTGTATTTTTTTGAACCAAAAACAGGTATTTATAATGGACATTTTGAGGAATAAATAACAGCCTAAATTATCTAAAATGTATTCAGTTGGGTTTTCTAGTTCATAAGGGAAAATACACTTTGGGAGGGGAAACTTCAGCAAACAGAAACTGAGACAAAATTCATTTTTGTTGACCTTCAACCATAATATTCAATTGCTCATAAGACCAATATATCACTGGACTTGATGCTAATGCCTTAATCTCAGCACATAGGAGAGAGAGGCAAACAGATGTCAAGGCCAGCCTGGTCTACACAAAGAGTTCCAGACCCCTCAGGGCCACATAGTTAAACCCTGTTCTGGGGTTGGGGGGTGGAGGGAGATGGCTCATCACTGACTGCTCTTCCAGAGGACCAGGGTTCAATTCCCAGCACCCATATGGCAGCTCAAAACTTGTCTGTAACTCCCAAGATCTGACACCTTCACACAGACAAGCAGGCATACAAAACACCAATGCATGTGAAATAAAAATGAATTATTTTAAAAAAAAGAGGAAAGAAAGAAAGAAAATTGGGGCTGGAGAGATTGCTCAGGTTAGGAGATCTTCCAGAGTTCTTGAGTTCAATTTCCAGCAACCATATGGTGGCTCACAACCATCTCTAATGAGATCTGGTGCCCTCTTCTGACCTGCAGGAATATATGCAGGCAGAACACTTTATACATAATAAATAAATTAAATAAATAAATAAATAAATTTTAAAAAAAGAAAATTAAGATCAGTATGCCTGACTTTTTTTTTAATTTTATTTATTATATATATATATATATATATATATATATATAGTGTTCTATCTGCATGTTTTGCCTATACACCAGAAGAGAGCACCAGATGTCATTTTAGATGGTTGTGAGCCATCATGTGGTTGCTGGGAATTGAACTCATAACCTCTGGAAGAGCTGCTAGTGCTCTTAACCCCTGAGCCATCTCTCCAGCCCTCATGCCTTAAGATTTATATTAAGATTTTATTGTGTACTTTTTTTTTTCCCCAGTCATGGTAGCATACTCTTGGTATGCCGTCATTCCCAAAGGAAGATGGAGAACTCAAGGCCACTCAATCATGGTGGCACATATCTGTAATACTAGTACTTAGGAGGATCAGGAGTTCAAGGACTGCCTCAGCAATGTAGTCAGTTGAGAAACCAGCCTGGGCTACTTTAGACCCCCTCTTTAAAAAGAAATAATTCCAGCACTTGCGAGGAAGAGTCAGCAGTGTCTCTTGTGAGGTCTAGGATAGCTACACAGAGATACCCTGTCTCAAAAAAAAGAAGAAAGGAAGATAAAGTTCAATGCCAACCTGTGCTACATAGCAAGACACAGTCTAAAAACAGCAACCAGGGCTGGAAAGGTGGCTCGGTGGTTAAGAGTACTTGCTGGTCTTTCAGAGGAACCAGTTTGAGTCCTAACGTCACATGGCAGCTGACAACCCTTCTTCAACTCCAGTTGCAGGGAATGGATGGGGGAAGTGCTTCTGTGTATGTGTTTGTCTTATTGGATGATAAATAAAGTACTGTTTGGCCAATGAGGCAGCAAGTTAGGCGGGACTAGGAATCAAGGAGGATTCTGGGAAATGTAGTAAAGAAGTGGTGATCCAGGCAGGAAGTGACATAGCAAGGAGACTCATTTAAGCAAGGGCAAGAAGGAAGGCGTCCCTTTCACTCTTCCTCCTGCTCTCTGCTCTGAGCCATCATGTGATCCGGGGATGAGGACGCCAGTGGAAGAAGGCGTCCTACATAAGTTAAGTCTTATAAAATATATAGATTTATGATAATTAAGACTGAGCTAGCAGATAAGAAATCCTAGTCATTGGCCAAGCAGCATTGTACTAATATAAGTCTCTATGTGTTATTTGGGACCTTGACATGGCGGCGGGCGTAACTCGGGTAGCCTGGCAGAAAACGCCCACTTGGCAGCAAGGCTCGGGCAGCTTGGCGGAAAGACTTGTTGTTACAGGGAATTATCTGTCCTCTTCTGGCTCTGCATGCATAAAATACACAGACTCATAAAAAGTGAAAATCATCTGGGCAGGTTGGGGTACACTTCTAATCCTAGCGCTCAGGAGGCAAAGGCAGGTGTATGTCTGTGAGTTTGAGACCAGCCTCATCTGCACAGGACAGCAAGAGCTGCACAGAGAGACCCTGTCTCTCAAATCAATAAAAGAATGAATGAATAAAGTGTGATTGTTTTTCACAAAATGTTAAAATCTTGTGGAAAACGTTAAAAATTCCTTTCTAGACCTGAGGTGGTTAGCAGGGAGTAAGGAGGTGGAGGTTGACAGATGTTGGTCAAATTCAATTTCAGTTAATATGAATAAGTCCAAGGGCTCTTTTGTACAGGCTAGTATTCAATTATAATAAGATAGCATATTTTGGAAGTTGATAAGAAAGTCAGTTTGTTATGCCAAGTTTGTGAGATCCCCAAAAAGGACCACCAAGGAGCCAACTCACTTATGCAAACACAAAAGGTTTAATATTCATTTACAAGCCTCGGCAGGGACCCTGTCCAGCAAACTGGTACAGCAGCTGCAGGAAAAGAGTGCCTGGCCTCAATTGTAAAGGGTTTATAAAGGAAAAAAAACACAAGCAGGGTGGTACATGCCTTGGCTGTTCCTGATTGGGTAAGAGTAGGTGATCTTTGGATTCATTGACGGGGCCTAGGCGAATTTCAAAACTGTTACTAACAGTTGCCCACAAGGACAGTTGTGTCAAGAAGATGTTATTTACTAAAGTTAGTCATTGCCTGACCACCTGGATGGGGTCATTTTGAGTGGGGTGGGCACAGTTTGGGTGCTCCTTGGAACTGTTTATGGTTCCTTGGCTGGAGCTGAATCAGCCGTGTGCCAGGAATTTCTCAGGGTGGCTTTTTATGAGAATGGAGTTAACTCCATCCTCCCCAGTTTACCTTGCTCTTACAGGTTTTAACTGTTTCACCACGAAAAGTAAATACTTAATCCTGCAGGATTGCCCACATGTGTAATCCCAACCCTGGAGGTCGAGGAAGGAGGATCAAGAGTTCAAGGTTATCCCAGCACTGGGGAGGAGAGACAGGTGGATTTCTGTGAGTTTGAGACCAGCCTGGTCTACAAGAGCTAGTTCCAGTACGGCCTCCAAAGCCACAGAGAAACCCTGTCTCCAAAAAAAAAAAAAAAAAAAAAAATCTTCAGACTGGTTTGGGCCTCTTGGTTACCCCAGAAAGGCATGGCAGGATCTTGACCATCAATGCTAGAAATGAGTGTCTCTGTGGTGAGGATGGCCCATGGAAGCCAGTTCTCCCTTGGATAAGGGTTTGTGAAGTGGCCTGGATAGCTCAGCTGTCATGGGGTCCTCGCTGTCCCCACGAGAGATGACTCCATGATATCTTGGCATGTGAGCTAGTTGTTGTAGATAGGGCACAGACACTGATCCAGGCCTGTGGTAGGTACAGGTATGGGTGTTGGATGCTTCCTGTCTGTGGATGGCACCAAGGAAGAAGGGACACAAGGCCCCTGGAGTCTCCTCAGCCTCTGCCCAGAGAGGGCATTGGTCCTATCTGAGGACATGTAGCCAGTACCTGCTCTCAGGGACCCTGTTCTGGGCTTGCCACCCCCTTGGCCTACAGGCTTGACCTCTGGAGACTTCATAAGGTACAGGGGCAGCTAGGGAGGAAGGCCAAGGATCTTCTGGAGGCATGAGTGGAAACTGGGTGGAGATGCTCAGCCGGGATTGAAGAAATGGTTGTCAGCCTCTGAGAACTTTATGTCTGCCCCTGATCCATGAAAGAGCTCTGGGTCACATGCCTCGGCCATCTTATCTTCTGTCTGTTCTGCAGGGCTTGGGGAGGGCTGTCTCCAGATACTATGATCAAGTGACGGCAGTCATAGGTGAACTTCATGCCAGTGACATTTTCTTGGCAAAACACTCACCGAGTAAAAGTCAGTCACCCAGATGCTTTTGTCAGAGCGTTTGTGTCCAGGTAGGTGCCTGAGGTGTCTACAGGGACCTTCAATAGGAACCCCTCATCTCCCTGGGAACCCTTGTAGCACTTCTGTTTCCCACACACTGTGTTGTAGACCCTCACATTGCGGTCCTGGCAGGCATAGCCACATACTTCTGTGTGATGTCGACATCCATGCCATACAAGATGGTCTTCTCTGTTACACAGCAGATACAAAGTGCAACCCATCCGAGGTCTGCTGGGCACTTCAAAAGTAGATAGATGCTCTTGTTGGCCCCACAGCTGATCATCTGGACATCCCTGGTGCCAGCAAACTTAATGGCTGTGATGGACAAGGTGTGGTCATCCAGGGTCTGCTCCAGGTTGTAGTTCTTCTCCACATTTAACGCATGGATGAGCCAGTCCCGGCCGGCTGAAGCCAGCAAAGTCACTCCCGTCTCAGTATTCCAGGCACAGCACATCAGCATTGTGGGCCTCCACCTCACTCAGCTCAGATTTCCACTGTGGTGGCCTGAAACCAAGTGTTGGCCATCAGACTCAAACCCCAGCTTTTTAAAATTACTTGTTTGGTTTGGTTTGGTTTGGTTTGGTTTTTTGATGGCTTTTGGGGCTGTCCTGGAACTAGCTCTTGTAGACCAGGCTGGTCTCAAACTCACAGAGATCCGCCTGCCTCTGCCTCCTGAGTGCTGGGACTAAAGGCGTGCTCCACCAACGCCCGGCCTAAAATTTTTATGTATATATTTGTGTGCCTGTGTAAGAGTGTATACCACTTATGTGCAGTTGCCCACAGAGGCCAAAAGAGGGTGTTAGATCAATTAAGTATATAATCTTTAAAAATACTGAAAGCTAAAAATATATTTTGTAGATTTAATAAAGTTCTCTGATATTCCTTTACTTATAATGGTCCTATTAACAACCGGTTCTGGGCTGGAAAGATGGCTCAGCGGTTAAGAGCACTGACTGTTCTTCCAGAGGTCCTGAGTTCAGTTCCCAGCAACCACATGGTGGCTCACAACCACCTTGAATGAGATCTGGTGCCCTCTGCTGGCAAAGTGTATACATAATAAATAAAACCTTAAAAAAAAAGCCGGGCGGTGGTGGCGTATGCCTTTAATCCCAGCACTCGGGAGGCAGAGGCAGGTGGATCTCTGTGAGTTTGAGACCAGCCTGGTCTACAAGAGCTAATTCCAGGACAGCCTCCAAAGCCACAGAGAAACCCTGTCTCAAAAAACCAAAAAAAGAACCTTTCTGTGTTCTTTGCATTCCCAGAGTAGCTATGGCTCGTGGTCCCAAGAAACATCTGAATCGTGTAGCTGCTCCAAAACATTGGATGCTGGATAAATTGACCAGCGTGTTTGCTCCTCGTCCATCCACTGGCCCTCACAAGGTGAGGGAACGTCTGCCTCTGATCATTTTCCTAGGGAACAGACTTGAGTATGCCTTGACTGGAGATGAAGTAAAAATGATTTGCATGCGGCACTTCATTAAGATTGATGGCAGGGCTGGGCGATGGTGGTGCACGCCTTTAATCCCAGCACTCAGGAGGCAGAGGCAGAGGCAGGCAGATCTCTGTGAGTTCGAGGCCAGCCTGGTCTCCAGAGCGAGTGCCAGGATAGACTCCAAAGCTACACAGAGAAACCCTGTCTCAAAAAAAAAAAAAAAAGGAGTGTTTTTTTTTTTTTTAATTTTACCATGCTGCTTAATTGAGCAGTTACCTAGAAAGGCAAGAGTACAGGAAAAGTCAGGACTGATATAACCTACCCTGCTGGATTTATGGATGTCATCAACATTGACAAGACTGGAGAGAACTTCTGCCTGATCTGTGACACCAAGGGTCACTTTGCTGTTCATCATATTACACCTGAGGAGGCCAAGTACAAGTTGTGCAAAGTGAGAAAGATCTTTGTGGGCACAAAAAGAATCCAACATCTGGTGACCCGTGATGTTCACACTATTCAATAACCTGATCCCCCTCGTCTAGGTGAATGACACCATTCACATTGATTTGGAGACAGGCAAAATAACTGACTTCATCAAGTTTGACACCAGTAACCTGTGTATGGTGACCGGAGGTGCTAACTTGGGAAGAACTGGTGTGGTCACCAACAGAGGAGAGACATCCTGGTTGTTTTGATGTGGTTCATGTGAAAGATGCCAATAGCAATAGCTTTGCCACCCGGCCTTCCAACATTTTTGTTATTGGCAAGGGGAACAAACCATGGATTTCTCTTCCCTGAGGAAGAAGAACCCGCCTCACCATTGCTGAAGAGAGAGACAAGAGGCTAGCAGCCAAACAGAGCAGTGGGTGAAATGGTCTCTAGGAGCCAATGAAAAAAATAAAAAAAAAAAAAAAAAAAAAAACAGGCTCTGCACCTGGGGTGGTGGCAACACACCTCTAATCCCAGCACTTGGGAGGCAGAGATGGAGTTTGAGACGAGCCTGTTCTACATAGTTCCAGGACAGCCATGGCTGTTAAACAGAGAAACCCTGTCTTGAAAAGCAAAACAAACAAAAAGGTTCTAAAATTATATATTAGGATCCGTTAGATGATATATTTAGAATGAACACTGTAGTCTGCTTGTTTTTTAGTCTGTCAGGTACCCAGATTGATACTGGTTTTTAGGGGGGGTTGTTTTTGTTTATAATGAAGATCACTGAGAGTGATTACCTCAGTAATTGCAGATTAGCAAGAGGGATGGTGTGGTCAGGTAAAGCCATTGCAGGGTTAAAGAATTCATTTGGGACCTGAATGAATGGCTCTGCAGGTAAAAGTACTAATTAAGTATCTGAGTTTAGATTGCCCAGAACTCATGAAAAATGCCTCAAATCCTGGGCATTTCTGTAGTTGGAGATTTTTCTCAGTCTCACCTGGTGCTACTGGACCAGTTTCTCTCCTGCCTGTCTATCCCCACAGCAGCTTATGAAATAATCACTCAGAGACTAATATTAAATATAATCGCTTGGCTGAGGGCTCAGGCTTGTTACTGGCTAGCTCTGTCTTATAAATTACCCCTTCCAATATTCTGTATTTTACCAGTGAGGTTCTTGGCTTGTTACCTAACCTCTTGCTTTCCTCGTGGCTACATGGCATCTCCTTGATTCGACTTCATTCTCTCTGTAACTCTGTTTAGATTTCCCACCTGGCTATATTCTACCTGGCCGTTGACCAAAACAACTTTATTCATCAACGAATAAAAGCAACACATATTTGAAGCATACAGAGCATCGCAGATCACGTTTCCGTAATACTGGCATTGCTGTAGTGAGGTGGGATGCCGAGACATGAGAATCCTCCAGAAATTTGTGGGCCAGCTAGTCTGGATTATGAGACACGGGAACAAAATGAGAGCCCTTACCTCAAAAACAAGGTGGAAGTATAGAAAACAATGGTTACATCCCAGATTCAGGCCTGGGTTTTCCTTGGGAATCACTGATGGGAGTCCACACGGCAATAGAGACACTTGCTGAAGATGAGTGGAGTTTGTGCTTGCTGGCTGGTGTTCTCTTCTTCCACTTGTGTTTCCTGTTGGACAGACTGCCCACATTTGGGGTGAGCCTTTCCCCTCAGTTGGTGCCCCACATTCCCATCTTCTTTAGCCATGTCCTCACAGACACACCCAGGCATCTCAACCCTGTCAAATTGACAATAAAACTTAATCATTTGTGAACTTGGCTCCCAACATATCTCTTTATGTCATACTTAATCTCCAAATAAAGATAATAAGACCATAATTCTTCCTAATGTGATAGAACATCAGACAACCAAAAACCAGTCAATTCCTTCCCCCAGAATAGGTGACAAGATCCTTTGAAGAATACTTAGTCTTCTGACATTTCTGATACCAACTCAACTAACTTTATAGTACATAATCCAGGAATAGGAGTAGAAAGAAATGGATTACCTGTTCAATACATACACACACACTCCTAACCAAATGGCAGTGATCCTTTCTGAAACTGGTACATAGCTGAGGCTAGTATTTATAACTGTCTTCTGCCGGCCACTCTGTATTCCTGTGTGTGTGAGTGACACTTTATCCCTGAACCTAGAGTCAGGGGGAAACACCCTAACTCTGAAACTAGTGCCAACAGAAAACACTTTGCTCCTGAAATCGGAGCCCAACACAAAACCAGCTAATCCCTTAGCAGGAAAAACTGACCAATCCCTGAGTAGGGAAGTAGTAGTAATCTCTAACCTAGGCTGGTGATCTTTCTGGCCCAGGGAAATAGTGAAGCAGTAGTAACCACTAGTCTAGAGGCACATCTCCCCATAGACTTTAAGCCTAGGCTAGTAGTAACGCCTAGCCTAGGTACATACTTTGACATTTTGTGGACCTTAGCCCAGAGAGGCAGCCAATTCCAACCCTGCAGGCTTGGAATTCCCCAAGCATTTTCCTGTGTAAAAACCACTTCCCTCTGGGTCTAAGTTAACTCAAATACTCTCTTTGCTTTTGCATCAGAGCGAGTCTCCTGGTGATTTGGGTTCTGGATTTTGGGTGTAACATTTGGTACATTGGTCGGAAACCCCAAGCCCACCATTACTACCCTCCACTGAGTCTTCAGGCACCAACTAATAACAGGTAAATCACTTTCTTTTTTCTTCTTTTGGCTTGGGGAACTTAAGCAGGTATCTCCTGCTACCCATCCACTATAACATCTTGGGAGGACAGGCAAAATTTTGTATTTTGTAAAACCTGTATTATATTTAACCTATGAAGCTCTTTTTATAACACAAGTCAGAAGACTGGGGATACCCTGGGGTCCTTTTTGGGGGGTGGGGGTAGATCCTCGTTGTATTTGACTTTGTACTTGATACAGCTGTTTGTTTTGTTCATATTTTGTGTAAGCTGGCTGAAAGAGCCTCTCTTTTCCAGCTGAGCTTATGTATTTGAGGTATCTGAGCCTCTCTTTTCCAGTTGGTTTGATTTGTGTCTGAGGTTTACAAGATTCAAAATATTTTATTTGACTTATCTGATTTGAGGAGTTTGATTTAGTTTGTATGTTTGAGGTAGTCAATAAGTAAAGTTTTCTTTTTCGTGCACTGTGCTGGTACATTGTCTGGTGTAGTGTCTTTTTGTGATTGTCTGTTAAATATGCGGCCGCTTGTTTTATCTGTTACTTCATGGTCAGGTGTAGTGCTAAGATTTAAGACATCCTGGAAGATCACTGGCTGGGAGAATGGGGTAGGCCACAGGGACTCTGCTAGTGGGCCAGGAGGTCTTTCCAAGGAGAACTGGATCCCCTTAGTCCCTCCAAAAAGATTGAGCAGGCCACAACTTCCAACCATCAATCCGGTATCCCATTTCAGAGTTTGCACTCAGCCACCAGTGTTGTCCGTGACTGTGTGTGCGTCCCTGAATTTGCCCTGTTGTTGTGGTTGGAATACCCTGGAATAATGACCAGAAGCCCAGCCACCCTCCCACTCCCCTGAGCCTTTCCCTTGACCATTTTAAGGATTTGAGGGGTCGAGGCCAACAAGATGGATGGGAACACCTAAAGGCAGTCCGGCTCGGAACCTGTGCTAATGGGAATGGTCAGCCTTTCAAACAACTGACCTAAAGAGGGTGAAAGACC